AATATTATCATTAAAATAAAATTCGAATATTAATGATAAATGATATTATTAAATCAATAAATATAAATAAATCAAATTTTATACATTGATAAAAATGTCTCAAAATGTATACTATATTTGATTTTTCCAATGAGATCATCTTTAACATCTTTAAGCATGTTAAGATCTTGATCAATATGATGCATGTCTGCAAATGTTTCAAACTCATCATTATCGATAATGAGTTCAAGGCTGAATAGCTCATCTTTCATCACGGTAAAGCTCACGCTCTATTCCACGCGATCAGATTGGGTCCTAGTTTTCTTAACATTGAAACGACAAAGATCATTATGAACAAGGGTGGGATTCTGTCTAGATACTTTATCCAAAAACTTTATGATTCCTATGGTGTTTACGATCCTGAATTATTGGAAGAAAAGTTAAAAACAGATCCAAATTTAAATAAAGATCAAAATAAAAAATGGTGTAGTGATTTATCTTTTGATGTTTTTATTTTGCTTTTAAATAAAGCAAATATTCTTTATGGTGATAAATTAAATCTACAAGGAAATGATATGGAGTTATTTCATTATAAAACTGGTGGATCGTATCATATTAATAGAGCTCCTCTTGTCATGGAAAGTAATATCAAAAATATTGAAAGTTTGATAATTAATTTTAAATTTATCCCATTTCCTCCGAGAATTAATAATGGAGAAGAAGGAGTGAATGTAGCTTATCCTTCTTTTGATGGTTTTGAAAATAATAAACAATTAAATGTTATTGCTAGAAGTATATTATTAAATCTAAAACTTGTTAATCTTTGGAAAAGTATTGGTTATCATGATATCTGTAATCATGTAAATAGTTTAGTGATGCAAGGTGCGATGCTTATTCTCTTTCCACCACATGTAGGATTTAAGCTTGATAAAGAAATTCTCGATAAACGATTAAAAGAACTTGTTAATATAGGATTTGTTTTAGACAATAAAACAATCTTGGATATTTTCAAACTTTATAAACATAGGTTGAATGAAGTTGGTGATGTTTTTTTAAATTCTTTTATTGAAATATCAAACATGGAAAAACAGAAATTCATTTCAAGTCTCTTAATTGATTCTATGGGAATGGAGGGTAATCAAGAAATATTTGATTTCATTTCCAAATATCTTCACGAATCACTTTTGATAAATTTTAATTTTAATATGATTTGATAATCAATCAATTATATATTTTTTAATATTTTAATAAATATTTAATTTAAAATATGAATATTGTATAATAAGATTTATAAAATAAGATTTATATGATATTACAAAATTATGAAAAAATAAGTATAAATATGAATATGAATAAATTATAAAAAAAAAGTTGAAAAAAAAATAAACATGTTGGTTAATGATGTATTGATCATGATATTTGAATATCTTTATGATATCGATGTCTCTCTTTTCAACTGTGTCTTGGTATCTTGGGATTGGGCAAATCTCGCGATTCCGATTCTCTGGCGAGATCCGTTCAAATATTATGATAATAATAATAATTCTTTGAGAAAAGTTGTCTGCCATAATTTAGATGTAAAAGATTATTTCTACAAAAGTGATATTCCAATAAAGGAATATTCCGTTCTTCTCTTCCCCTATCTTGAATACATGAAAAAAGTAAACACGTATCATATAGAAAAAGTATTTAAAGATTCTGTATATAATATTTATACTATGATACATGCTATTATTGGATTTTTATTTGTTACATCAGAAATCATTAATGATATCACGATCGATTGTTGTTTTCATAATATCGAAGATTTAAATAAATACATGAAAAATCATTGTGTTCATCTAAGGTTGTATAATGGATGTTTGGAATTAAACGAACTCGAAAATCTTGATAATCTGAAAAGTTTAAGCTTGACGAGAATATCCTTTGAAGATAATTTTATCTTTTTGATGAAAAAACTTGAAAATATGGTAAATCTCGAATTGATAAATATTCATAATAAGCAATTATTATATGATATCATCAAATTACAGAATATTAAATTTCTCACATTGAATAATTCTATTCATGACGTTGATAAATTTATACTCATCATGAAAGAAATGAAAAATTTAGTTTATTTGAAAATAATTTCTTTTGATATTACTGATGATGATAAAAAAATTTTACTTAACGAATGTAAAAAATATGAAAATATAAAAACATTGAAATTTGAGATAAAAAAATATGTTTTATAATATATTTTTATTCATGTAAAATTTCTTATTTAAATAAAATATATAATTTATAAATATCTTAATACATATTTTAAGTACGATGATTATATTTTAAAAAATAATAACGATTACTAACATGGTACCAATACAATCTTTTCTTATATTCATTATTATTAAATAAATATTCTGGATAATGAATATAAGAATCTTTTTGTTTTTCGATATCTTGTTTAATAGGAATAAATCTATCTAGATAATAAATTGTGTTATCTTTATTTTTTTCAAATTCTTTAGGTAAATATTCATTATCATTATTTTCATTGAAAAAAAATTCATTTCCATATTCGAGTTTATCATTTTGATTTTTTTTAATGTTTTCTTTTTTAGTCATATGTGAGGATTTTAGAAAGATCACTTCAGTATCGAGATCATAAATAATTTGCTTATATTCATTTTCAAGTTTGTTGTTTTCGGATTCAAATCGAATATCTTTGTATTTAATAGAATAATCTTTTCGATCATTATTGATACTTTCATTTTTAAAGTTGTCTTTAGTTTTAATTTTGATTTCTCCTCTTTTTTTTCTAATTCCTGGAATAAGGAATTTTTCATCAAATCGTATCCTAGCTAAATCCGCAAGTCTTTCATAATACTCTTTCACATGTAAAGGTTCATTTTTCCAAGAATTAGCAATGACAGGTGAAAATATTGTCATCATTGGAATTTTTACATTTTGTGATTTGAGATTATCGATATAATACTTGCGATAAATCATAAAGGAATTAGATGACATTGTTGGAACAGTGCCATCATGTTTTAATTTAACATTTTCATCAAGGTTTATCAATGGTGGGAATGGCGGTCTTTGAAACAAGAGAGGATTTTCGTAAATTGTAGGCTCTATTGATGAATTTATTAAACAACTAAATTTACTTTATTTATATTTTATTCGATTAATAATATTGGATTAAAATTTGTAATTACATATTATGAGAATTTTTAAAAAGGTAATCTGAATAAAAAAAACAAAAAAATTTGAATAATTGTTAATGATGGAATTATATTTGTGAAATATTTTTTTTTTAATTGTTGAGATAATTCGAATATTTCCTAATTATTTTTTTTCTTTTAAATTTTCTTCATTTCTGCAGAAATCATCACATAATATTTTTTTTCTTTTTGATTTATTTTTCTCCATGTTTTTACTGGATCACAATCTGCGTATGTAAAATTTTTTTTATTTTGTTTGTAGAAAAGATTTTTAAAAACAAAATAACTATTATGAGTTTTTCTGATATTAGGATTTTTTTTTAACTGTTCATCGAGTAATTCCTTTGCAATTTCTAAGACAGACATTTTATTATATTATTAAAAATATTCTATGTATATTTATAACAAACCAAAATAAAGTTATTTTTTTAAACTCTATATTTAGTAATTTTTAAAAAAACTATATATAACTCTACAAGTATTAATTAAATTTCATCTCATAAAAAATGTCTAAAAATCAAAGTGATGATGAAAATCAAAATCCAAATGATTATTTGGATTATTTCATAATTGATAAAAATAATGATAGTGTAAAATGTAAATTATGTCCAAAGGATTATAAATCATACAATGAATTAATTCTCAGAAATCATATTTCTGTAAAACACCGTGAAGAATGGAAAAAAATAGAAAATAATAACTCTATTGAAACTGAAAATAGATCTAAAAAAAATAAAGGAAAAAAAACAAATGAAAGAACACAAGTCTTTAGAACATCTGAAAATAAAAATGAAAATGATAGTGATGAAAATGATAGTGATGATAATAGTGATGACGATGATGATGACGATGATGATTTATTATCAACTTATGATGATAAAGAATTAGTCTATATTTGTAACTCTGTTATGATGAAAATGAGTGATGGAATTCAATTAAAATGTGAAAAAATTATTATTAAACCGATTTCTTGATAATTTTAATTTAGTATTTATTATTGATAATTAATATAAATATACAATAAAAATTAGATTAGTTGAATAAAATGGACATAGAAAAATCAAAATTCGTTTCTAGAGAAAGAATTAAAAATATATTCGATGATATTGATACAAATAAAGATAATAAACTTTCGAGAAAAGAAGTTTACAGATATCTAAAAACAAATATTTTAGGATATTTCATTGTTAATAAAAAAAATAATCTAACTTTGTGTAAATTATGTAAAAAAAAATTTGTATCACCTATAAACATATTCATCGCTAGAGAGCATTTCTCAAGAAAACATCTCAAGGAATTAAATAATTTAGAAAAAAATATCAATGAAAGTAATAAATTGTTTACTGAGAAAAGTATTCCTGATGTGACTTGTAAAAATAATTATTTTATTTACATATGTTATAATGTTGAGATATCAATGTCAAACGGTTGTAAAATCTGGTGTAAAAAGTTAGTTATCAACCCTATTATAGACTAATTTCTTATTTATAAACATTAAACATTTCTCATTAAATAAATTATTAAATATTTAAAATATCTGAAAATGATGAATCTAAAGAAACAATATTAAAAAATCATATAAAAAATAATCATCCCAGTATATTTAAAAAATTTCGTAGAAATAGTAAATATAAAAAAAATAATGAAGATGACGATAATGATGATATAAATTCTATTTCTTCAAATAATAATATTAATGAATCTTTAGAGAATAAAGAAACTATTAAATTAAATAAAAAAATCAAAGAAGAGGATAATTCTGATAAAATATCGATAAAAAACATTGAATTTGAAGGTGATGATGAAATTGAGATCGAAATCGATTATAAAAAGATCAAAATTAGTAGAGGTTGTAAAATAAATTTCACATAATTCACATCAAAAAAAATTCTAAATGGATCGTAAAAAATATCTAAAGACCCAAAAAAAAATCTTGATTTCGAATATACATGTAATGATGTTAGGATGGTGATGGTAAATGGTTATGAAATCCTTTGTGATGAAATGATTATTAAACCTAATGATGAAACAATTATTGAACCTGAATTCGATAAAAAAAAATCAGGAAATAAAAATATGACAATAACTGAAAAATCGGGTTACTGGCACAGAGATGGACAAGAAAATAAATATCGTCCATGGGGTGGTCCTGGATATGGAAAGGCATAAAATTTAAAATAACGTTTAAATAAAATATATTTCATTTAAAAATATTATCTAGATAAACCAATATTTGTTAATATTAATAAAAAATAATAAATATTTTATTTTATTTGAAATTGTATACTATTACAAAAATATTTAAATTTTATAAATCATCTTGTATAAATATTCGTCATCAAGATTATTCATTAATTTGTGATATTTAAATTTGATTTCTTGAATTTCAAGATCTTGATCTAATTGAAGTTTTTCTTTTTTCAGTTCATATTCTAAACTATGATTATTAAAATCCCTTGCTCTTTTTCTCGTAAAAGGAGCATCGTATAAACTAGAGTAAAAATCATCTGAAAAATAATTATTTTTTAATGTGGAAAAAGAATCTGTTAAAGTAGAACAAAAATCATCCAATAAAGAATCGTCACGACTTTTTCCTTTAATATCATTGCCATGTTTTCTTTTAAGATTTGTGATGATTGGTTTAGTAGTTGAAGATGATGATGCTTGATTTCTTTCTTCAGAGATCAAATTAGATTTATTTTTTCGCTCAAGATCTTTATTTATTTTATTAATAGCTTTGTTTAATTCTTTTAAATCTTCCATTGTTATTTTCGTTCTACAGAACGGACATTGTTCATATCTCCTCACTGACTTATAGATACAAGCTTTACAGACTGGTGCAGAACATTGACAATTTGGTATTGGAAAAATTTTTTCAGTATAATCAAAACATATGTTACAATTGTAAATATCTTTAAATTCTGATTTTTTTTCCGTTAAAGACATTTTTTTTTTATTTATTTTTTTTTTATTTTATTCCTTTATTATATATTGAATTTAATTAATAATGAATAAATAAAAATATTTAAATAGATGAATAAATTTATAATCAATAAAATGAAATGATAGAATTATCTCCATTATTTCGTTTAATAACACTATATTCCCAAACTAATTCAGTTACTATCTTATGATAAAATTTATCATCTTTGTAAATAAAATATTCACTGATATCAGTGATTTCAAAACATTCCCTCCCATTAAATTTAACCTTTTCAAGAGGATTTCCATTATATTTGCATGTAAAGTTATCTGGAATTTCTCTTAATTTTCCTTTTTTAGAGTTAAAAATAAGATATTCATGTCTTCCCTCATCCTCATTATTTGTACCACAATTACTAAAAGTATAATCGTCAGGTTCTATTTTCATAAAAGGTTTTTCCTTATAATAAATATCATAAGTCTGTCTCTCGTCAATGAGAAATGCTTGTCTTTCTTTCCCAAAAGAAACTTTAATTTGTGATACATTTTTGAAATAATCACTTTCATATCTAAAATCATCAAGATTCAAATATTTATTATCTTTTAAAAAGAAAAGATATCTGTAGCGAGGATCATATTCGTAATTTTCAAATATTAATTCGATTGATCTTGAATCGATAAATTTATTTTCAGACATTTTTTGATATTTTTTAATAATCTCAAAGAAATTCTTGTTTTATTTATAAGATAAAAATATTTAATAATATTGAATAATTAGATGATAAATATTTAATTAATTATATGTTTTAAATACAATAAAATAATTTATCATATCATAATAATTAGAAAAAAAAATATAAATATATTTTAAATAATTTTATATTTATAAAAAATGGTGCCTGTTATAATCATTGTAGTTTTAGTCACATTAAATGTAATTGCTCTCGGTATTAAGATATCTCGAGATATTAAAAAATATAAACACGTGTAAATAAATAGATTAATTGAAATAATCAAAATCGAATAGTTTACTCCTGATATTGCTATATATGTTTTCTCTCTTGCAGCAATCAATACAAATATTGTGAAAATGGCAATTGCTAAAATTAAAAAATGATACTAAAGTTTGGTGATACACATCATAATATTCAACCTCCTCCTTCGAATCCTCAACTCGCTTACCACAGGATGGAATCAGACATTGAGCATCATCAACTTTCCAAATTTTGTAATAATGAAATTTATAACATACATCACATGTAGTTTTCCCGACATGACCTTTATATTCATTTCTTATCTTGTATAATATTCCATCACCCTTTTCAAAGTCATTACAATAAACGATTCCATCTCTTGTACTTTTTATTTTTCTATATATTTTTTTGCCATTTAAATTAAAATAAACTCTATTATTTTTCTTATGGAGATAATTGTAATAATCTTTGGAATCTTTCGAATAAAAGACATCATTTTTTTTGAATTTCAGTCTCTTTTTTATTCTTTTTGCTTGAACAAAACTTATATCTTTATTCACGTATGGTATAGAATTTTGTTCCTTTGGACTCAGATACGAGAATATCTTGTTTATTACAGATAATTTATTTCGGAATGAAAAATTGATCTGGTATAACCTTTTACTAACCAATCCCAAAGATAATTTATCATTGTAATTTAATAAAGCGAATATCAATAAAATTATCTCGGTAGGAAATTGATGAATCATATTTTTTTTTAATTCTCTTTTAATAAATTTCAAGTAGATTTATAACAAGAATTAATTAATAATTGTAAATATTTATTAATGGAAATTACAAATTTCCATTTTCACAATTATGACATAAATTATGAAAATGTAAATCATTTAAAAACTCACAAGAATTGCAACATAAAAATAGTAATAATTGTTTCATTCGCTAATTTGTTCATTTTTTTTATAATGTAAGATTATGATAAAATCTAATAAATTTATAATAAATAAATATTATTAATAAAATCAATAATTTTGATGTATGGATAAAAAATCTAATCTAAAAGATTTAAAGAGAAAATTAAATATGAATTTGAAATAACTCATAATGAAAATCATATAGATGATTGTGAAATATTATATAAAAAAATATTTTAAATATTTTTAAATAAATAATATTTATTATTTAATAAAAATACATTTTTAATTTCTATAAAATAGTAAATAAATCTTTTTTTTTTCATATCATTTTTACAAAATGAGTATATTTGGTGGTGTTAATCTTAACTTTGATTTCTCGGGATTTAATCCACTTGGAAATGCTAATCCATTCAATTCTTCTAAGGTAAAATTCAATATTATCAATTATTTCTTTTATTATAAAATAATTAATAGTAACTAATAATTAATAATATATTAGTAAGTGTTAATTAGTTTAATTATTGTTTGAATATTAATTATAATAAATTTATATTATATTTGTTTTAAGGCGTATTGAAAGTAGATCTTTAAATACTGAATCAAGAAAAAAAAATGATTTTATTTTAATTTGTTATAATGTTGAATTGATATTATCAAACAAAACTAAAATTATATCTAAAAAACTTATTATCAATTCTTCATCTGATAATATGAAAAATAAAAATCTAGATGAAAAAAATAAAGAATCTCTTATTAAAGATAGATTTTCTTTTTTTGATTTAAGAAAAAAGCAAAGACTAGAAAGAAAAATAGATAAATTAATAAATAAAATAGATGATAAGATAGATTTAAATAAAATATCAGCTGCAGTAGTATATGATTCAGAATAATTACAATATTTAAATTCTTTATAATTTGTATTTATAAATAAATCATTTATTATATAAACTTAAAAATGTACAATTTAATAATTTTTTTTATAGAAAATAAAACATCTTGAAAACAAGATATTTAAAAAAAAAAAAATAAAACTATATTTTAAATGGTTGTCAATAATAAACATAAAGTCAGAATGTTTCTCATTGAAGAAAATAAAAAAAATAAAAACGTTAATAATAATTATGTTCAAGAAGATCAATTTGGTGAATCTGATCCTGAAGATTATGCATATTTAACTGATATTATCGGATGTGTTCTTATAGACGAACCAACTAATAAAATAAATTGTATAATATGTAATCATAAATATTCATCATTAAAAAATCAAGAAATTAAAAAACATCTTTCTACAAAACATTCATATCTATGGAATGAATTAGAAAGGAGAAAAAAAGAATTTTTAAAAATAGAATTCAGTGAATTTCATAATGATCCACTCGGAAAAGAATATTCAATTTATTTAGAAGAAAAGGATGATGAATTCTATTACATACTCTTAAATGAATATCTGATTTATTCAAAAAAAGATAATAATAAACCTAAAGAAAAATATTCAGAAGAAAAAAATAATAAAATCCATAATAAAGTTAAAAGAAAAAATATTAAAAAAAATTATTATCAAGATAGATCAAATATAAATAATAATAATAATCATATATATATCTGTGAAAATGTTGAATTAATAATGAAAAATAATATACAAATCATATCTAAAAAAATAGTTATCAATAGTCTTTAATCTTTTATAAATTATATAAATGTGAAAATTCGCTTATATGATAAAATTAATTTTTTATTAAAGAAATAAAATTAAACAAATAAAGCATGGGTAATTGTGTTGCTTGTATCATTGAAATACATAATAATACAGATCTGTATTTATTAAGACCATACAAAAATCATTTTTCTTGGGGGAGATTAGAATATGAAACAGAAGAAAATGATATACTATACCCAAATCAAATATCAATCAAAGGTGTTCAAGGTAGAACCGGTAGTATCTCTGGAGTACAGGATTATTTCATTTACGATGTTGTAAACCGAAATAATAATACTGAAATTGGTCAGGTAAAATTAATTTTCGATGTTCCATACGATACAAATAGATTTTCAAGATCTACAAAGTTTGAAATAACTAATTATAGTGATGAAGTTGATATTAAAATTAAAACTGATGAAAAATGGAGTGGGTATGGATTTGGAAATAATTTATGTAAATTTATTATAACTTATGAAATTCCAAGTGTTTCAATTGAAACAAGATCAAAAATAACTCCTGTTAAAAAAGATAAAAAAAAAATAAAAAGAATAGATAAAAAATATAATTAGTTTGTGATATAATTAAAAATAGATATAATAGTCTATAATAAATATTCTAATAAATTCTATATAAATATAAAAATTCATTTCTGAAATATTTTTATACCAAAATTCTTTATACAAATTCTTTAAATGGGTGGTAATTGTGTTAGCTGTATCATTGAAATACATAATATATTAGATCGATATTCATTGAGACCATTTGATAATGAATTTAAATGGGGATATTTAAAATATAAAACTGATAAAAATGATATAATATACCCAAGACAAACATCAATCAAAATTGTTCAAGGTAGAGAAAATAGCATGTCTGGAGTACAGGGTAGTTTCACTTATGATGTCGTGGAACGAAAAAGTAATAATGAAATAGCTCGGATAAAATTACTTTTCGATATCCCATTTGATACAAATAGATATTCAAAAGCTGCAAAATTTGAAATAATCGAAAAATATACTGATGACGAAATTTTCAGAATTGAAACTGTTGAAGAATGGAGTAGATTTGGATATGGAAAAAATAAATGTAAATTTATTATAATAAACAATCATTTCGAAAATCCTATAACTAAAGATCCTATAATCGAAACAAAATCAATAAAAAAACTCATTAAAAATAAAGAGGATAAAAAAGATAAATATAAAAAAAAAGAAAAATTTATTAAGTCTAGAGTTTGGAATAGAGATTTGTCTGATATTGATTATAATTAAAATTAACAAATTTGATATAAAATATATTTCAATAAATTTTATGTTTTTTTTTTACATTGTTATTTCAACTCTATTAAACAAAAAAAATATATCTAACAAAAAAATATATTTAGTTAATATATGTAATATTCAATAAATGATAACTAATAAAATTTATATAAAATGCAAAATTTACTTATATAATTAAATTAATTTTTTTAAAAAAAAATAAAAAAAAATAACTATGGGTAATTGTGTTGGTTGCATAATTGAAATAGATAATAAAACAGATAAATATTTATTAAGATTATGTAAAAATAATTTTACCTAGGGATATTTAAAATATGAAACTGAAGGAAAAGATATTATATACCCGAGACAAAAATCAGTCAAAATTGTTCAAGGTAGAGAAAATAGTATGACTGGAGTACAGGGTTATTTCATTTTTGATATTGTAAACTAGAAAGATGATATTAAAATAGGTCAGATAAAATTGATTCTTGATGTTCCATTTGATTCAAATCTATATTCAAGATCAATAGATTACAAAATAACTAATTATAGTGATATCATTATCAAAGTTGAAACTAATGAGGAATGGGGTGGATATGGATTTGGAGAAAGTAAATGTAAATTTACTATAACTAATGAACTTGCATTTGGTCCTCCAGAATGATTTAATTTTATTTTAAAATATTCTGATAAAACCTATATAAAATATAAATATTTACTTTTGAGATATTTTTTTTTATTCGAATAAATCAATATTTTCATAGATTTTTTTAAATGGATAATCGCGTTAGTTGCGTTATTGAAATATATAATGATACAGATAAACATTTTTTGAGACCAGTTGAAAATAACTTTACTTGGGGAAGAATGAAATATGAAACTGAAATAAATGATATAATACATCCTGATCAAACATCAATAAAAATTGTTTAAGGTAAAGATAATAGTATGTCTGAAGTACAGGGTAGTTTTACTTTCGATGTAGTGGAACAGAAAAATGATTTCAAAATAGGTCAGATAAAATTGATTTTTGATGTTCCATATGATACAAACAGATATTCAAGATCAATAAATTACAAAATAATTAGATGTAGTAATACTATTATTGAAATAAAAACTGAAGAAAAATGGGGAGGGTATGGATTTGAAGAAAATTATTGTAAATTTTTTATAATCTACAAAAGTCCAAGAATTGCTGAATCTATAGAATCAAAAAAGACTCTTGTGAAAAATACAGATAGAAAGGATAAAAATAAAAGGGAGAAAAAGAATAAAAATTCAGTAAAGAAAAAATCTAATTGGTCTAAGATTTGGGATAATTTATCTGATTAATTATAATTATAATCAATAAATTAAATATATTATAAATAAAATTCATATTATAGGAATATATGAAATTATTCTTAAAAAAAAATATATATAAACGACTATTATATTATAATTTATTTATCTTTAATCTTTAAATTTTATAAATCATTCTCTGTTTAAAATGTCAAATCGTAATTATAAATCTTCAAAAAATAAATCACAATCAAATAATAATAGTTTAAAAATCAATCAAATTGATATTGATGATGTCATTAATAATGATACATTAAATGCACATTTATCATTATTAAAAATATTCAAAACATTAAGACATGAAGATGATGATATCAATAGATTATTTTTATCTAAAGCTGAAAAAAGATACAGTATATGGTTAAATTTATTAAATGATAAATTTGATAATGATAGTGACATTCCTATTCCACCAATCGATGTATGTCAAATTTGGCATGCACATTTACTATCACCTTTAAAATATTTTAAAGATATGGAAGAATTATACAAACAAGAATATAGATTTCCAATTGAGAGAATATACAAATGCTGGAATGAAAATAATGACGAATATTTAAACTCTGTAAAATTTTGGGAAAAATACACTAAACAACCATGGATTCTGAATGTTCAAGTTGAATCAATATTTTCCTTAAATCTTGTAAATGCTGTGATTCGTCAATATAGATTTACAGATAAAATAATCAATGATTATACTGTTAACACACTTATGAACCATTCACAAGCAATTGAAAGATATAAAAAATTTCTTTTATTGGTTAAAAATAATGAAAGAGATCTTGTTCCAACAATAGATATAGATCTTTGCTGGCATACACATATGCTTCATAGTATTGATTATCGTGATTTTACAAAAAAATATACGGGTAAAATTATCAATCATGATGATAGAATCTCTAAATCTATTCTCAATGATAATTTTAAACAAACTTCTGATATTTGGTATAAATATTTCAACGAATTGTATAATGATGATAATCTAAATGATAACAAAAACATCAAGAACAAAAAAATTATTTCTGTTAAATCTAGAGACTGCGGTATGACTGACACAGGTTGGTGTCGAGGTGGTTCATGGTAATTCAAATAGTGTAAAATAAAAAAAAAATTAAACAAATTAAATATAAATTAATATTTTATCTCGATACATTTGTTTTTTTTTTTTTAAAAAAAAATATTTTAATAAAATCTCAATTTTAATATATATTATTATGAAAATCAAAAAAAAAAAGCTAATACATTTTATGAAAAACGATTATAAATTCTATTTATCAATTTATCAGCTTTAACATTCAATTCTTTTTCATCAGCAGTTTTTTCTTCCAGCTTTTTGAAATTTATTTTTTCGCGTATCAATCTAATATCATCTAATAGATTTAATAAAATTCCGTCATTATATTTTTCAAGTAATAATTTAAATACGTCATCATCTTCAATAATATTCAATAATTTTTCAAATAAAAAAATGTCTTTTTTATTCCATTTATCAATTGATTTGATATCTTTTTTACTATTATTCCATTCATGGATAATATTATCAAATTCCTTTTTTTCCATAGCTTTATCAGAAAAAAAATTATCTTCTAACCATTTTCTATATCTCATAATTTTTCTGCTGTTATTTTCATCTTCAGTTTTAATATTTCTTCCAAAATAATCAGTGATATTTATTAAACGATAAGAATAATTTTTATCAAGTATCATTTTATTCATAATTTTAGCATTTGAATCGCAATACACCATTAATTTTTCAAATTTCAAAAATTTTAAATTTATATCTGTATTCTTGTCTTCGAGAGCAGATAAAGTTTTTTCCAAATATTCGACTTGCATTTTTTTTTTCAATTTATTTTATTTTTTTTTTGTTTAATATAAAGAATGAAAAAAATTTGATATTTTTATAAGAAATATTATTTAGAAATTTAATTAATAATCAAAAATATTTTTTTGTTCATTTTTATTTAAATTGATCTCAAATCTTATATTTATTTTTCTTTTCATAAAACTATAAATAAGATTAAATTATTAGTTATTTATTAAAAAAAAATGATTTTTTCACCTGATATATTTTATATAATATTCGAAAATTATATTTATGATAATTATAATAATTTAAAAAATATAATTTTAACTTGTAAATTTTTTAATCACATGATTAAAAATTTAATAGTAAATATCAAAATTATAAATCTAAACAATCCAGAAAAATATTTGTTAAATATCGATGATAAAATATCAAAAATAACTTTTTATAGAAAAGAATTTATTGTTAATTTTTTCAAATCTTATCTTTACAAAAAAATTGAATTTGTTAAAATCCAAAAAAATGAATTTTATTATATAATCCCACGAAAAATATTTTATAAAAATTATTTTAAATTTATATATGTAGTAAATTATAAAAAGTCATACATATTAAATTTTATAACAAAAAAAAAATATAAATTAGAAAATTCAATAAAATCTTCATGTAAATTTTCAAAACTTGGTAAATTTATAAAAATAAGATATAATTTATATTTAATAGATGATAATATTCTAAAAAAGATAATTTTATTAAAATATTTAAAAGATAAAAATATCAAACTTAAATACATGTACCAAAATTTAATTAATTATAGTTCTCTGATGGAAAAATGTGCCGATAAAATATTAATTTAAAAAAAAAATAATTATTTTTTTAATATTCCAAAAATTTTTATATTTTTCAATTGAAAAAAAAATTATATCATCCAAAATACTGATATCTTAAAAAATTTTAAACATTTTATCTTATTAAAATAATAGCGATATTTGAACTCAAAATAATTATATAAATATTAAAAAAAAATTCGCTTATAAATTAATTTTTAATTAAATAACTAACATGGGTAATTGTGTTAGTTGTGTCATTGAAATACATAATAGAACATATGTATATTTTTTGAGACCACGTGTAAATTATTTTGAATGGGGAAAAATGAAATATGAAACAGAAGAAAATAATAATTTAATAAACCCAAATCAAATATCAATCAAAGCTGTTCAAGGTAGAACAGATAGCTTATCTGGAGTAAAAGGTTATTTTAATTTCGATGTTGTACGCCAATATGACAATGTTGAAATAGGTCAGATAAAATTATTCTTTGATGTTCCATACGATACAAATAGATTTTCAAGATCTACAAACTTTGAAATAAATAATTATGATGATACCACTATCGCAATTAAAAAGGTTGAAGAATGGGGTGGATTTGGATATGCAGAAAATAAATGTAAATTCATCATAACCTACGATACTCCAAAAGATTTAGTTAACACAAATCTATATTCTCTTAATTGTATTTTTGAAATACATAATACATCAGATAAAATTTTATTAAAATCAAATAAAAATTATGTGAAACGTGGAGAATTCCTATATGAAAATAAAGAAGATCAATACATTGGTCCCAATAAAATAATGCATAAAAAGGTTCAAGGTAGATTTAATAGTATTTCTGGAATAGAAGGTTATTTTAATTTAGATGTTTTACGACATATTGATAATGTTGAAATAGGTCAGATAAAATTAATCTTTAAAATTCCATATGATACCAATAAAGATTCAAGATCTACAGACTTTATAATAAATGATTATAGTAAAATTACAAATATCGAAAATGATAAAAATTTTACTATCCATGTTAAAAAAACTGAAAAATGGGGTGGGTTTGGATATACTGGAAAAAACTTTTGTCAATTTATCATAAGCTATAAACCAAATCATCCAATTAAAACAAAATCAAATATTTTAATTAAATCAAAATCGAAACTAAAAAAAACTCGAAATTATTAAAAATTTTTTTTTATTTAATTCAAATTATAAAATTATTATTATAATTTTTATAAATAAAATAAAAGATATAATAAATAAATGATATAATAATTATAACGTGACTAATAATAATATCACGAGATTACAATAATCACCCACCAATTAAAAAAAATCAAAACAAATAATTCTTTGTTCTTAATTTAACGTAAATCGAGTTTATGCATTTTTGTTTACATGCATGATAATTATAAATAATAAAAATCTAAGATCATCTTTTTTTTTCTTCTCAAACAAAAAATCATTTTCGAAGGTTAATATTTCTTTTTTTTTTTATATTTTTTTTATATAAAAATGATTAAAAATAATGCTAGCTAAGTTCAAAGCAACAAATATCAACTATTTCGATGATAAAGTTATCAAGTTACTTGTTTAAAATCTTCTCAACCTCTTATCATCACTTAGTTCTCAACTAGTTTAACTAGTTTTTATTTGCTGGCTTCTTTTCGCTTTAGACTTATGATTTTTTATTTATTATTTTATTTTTAATTTATTATTTTAAATATATACTAACTATTTTTTTCATTATAAACTAATAGAAAAAAATGTCTAATGTTATTGATGATATCGATTTAATAATCGAACAAAACAACAATTTACAAAGCTCCTTAATTCAAATACGTAAAAAAATTAATGAAACAAAAAGTAAAGTCAAACCTAAACAAAGTCTTGAGGATATTATCGAGAAAACAAAACAAACGACTACTAAAAATGATCAGAATAGTTTAGATATCGAAAGATTAAATATTAGTATTAAAGGATGGAAATCTAATCTTTCACTTTACGAAAATGTTAAAAATCTTCATAACGAATTAGAAGATTATAAAGATAAATATTATAAACTCAATACTAAATATAATAATTTAGTTCATAATGAATAATTTCTTATATTGTATTTTTTTTATTATTATTGATTACTAATTCAGATTATAAACTTCAAAATTATTTTGTTTTTAATCACATGATTTTTTCTTACATAAATTCTAAAAAAAAATTAGAAATTCTAAAATACATATTTATCCGAAGGATTTTATTCCGTTAAATGGAATATTCTAAAGAAAAACTTGATTTGGAAAATTAAACAAAGTAGAGAAAATATATAATTCAATATTTTTTTCTGTAAGTAAAGCATCAGATCTGAAAATACAAAAAAAAAATGAATCGATACATCATTCCAAATTATCATACTTATTGCAATTATTTAACAGAAAATCCTCAATCTAATCTATCAAAAAAACGTCGTTATTATGTGAAGTTAGCATGTACCAATTGTCAAATTAAAAAGGAAAGATGCTCTGGTGAAGAAAGATGTGCAAATTGTAAACGATATAATCGTGAGTGCGTATATATCAAATCAACTAAAAAAAGAGGGCCTAAACCTAAACCCATCACTACTCCTGCAATAGTAAATTTATTAAACCCAACTATTTAATTCATACAATACGTTATGAACAATTTTTTATTATTTATTAATTTATTTTTAAACATTATCAATATGAAGTTTATATAAACTTAAATTTTTTTTATGTACTAAATAAAGTACAACAGAAATATTATTTCTAATATACAAGAAAAAAAAATATTTGTTTTATTTGATATGTTTCTAAAAAAATATGTATAAATTCTGCTATTCTTATGGGTAAAGAATTTTGTTGTACTGAAAATTTAAAAATATTAAAATTAAAAATGTATCCCAATAAGTATATAAATATATAAATATCATGATGGTATTTCACCACTGAATAAATAAACAAATTTAAATTTAACTATGGAAAATTTTACAAATTTTATGTTGATATTACATGGTATGAATCTGTACATAGTCAATAATAGAATATTTGTTAATCAGATTTTATAATATAGTGACAATATATGCAGTGGCGTGTCTTTTATTTTTTCCTTTTGGCATTTTTATTGGACATTTTGGTCGTAAAATCCTACCCAATATCTGGTTTAATATACATTGGATCAATCAAGTATATATAAAAAAAATATTAATAATATTTATTATTAAATACAAATTACTAATTCTCTTCAATCATTAAAATTACATTCAAAGACATTTTTATTTGCATTACCTGTTGTTATTGGATTCTCTATTAATCATTATTCGGTAGAAGAATCACGTTTTATATGGATTAATAGTCCACATACGGTATATTTTTTACTCAATATTAATTTTGATAAAAAAATACAATTGTTTAAATAAATTGAATTTTTTTTTAGACTATGGGACATATATTAGTTCCACTCATTATTTTAGAAGTTATTATTAGTATTGTTTATAATCGTATATATCATATAAATAAAGTACGATTAATCCATGATTATTTAGCATATTTCATAACTATTTGTATCCCGATAGAAATTTTACTTGGCATCATAGAATTTAAAGCCGAGAAAATTTGGTATTACATTTTCTTTGGTTGGCTTATGATATTACTTTTAATATTTATTTTGACAAAAATTAAAACACAAGAAAAAAACGCTATTGAAAAAAAAAATGAAAATTCAATAAATTAATAATCTGAATTAATAATTATTTATATATTAAACATTTTTATTTTTCAAATAAACTTTCAAACTTATAATCAAATATTTTTAATCTAAACTTAATTAAATTATTATAAATGAATAACTTTAATTCACAAGAATGGTTTAATAGATCTTTTGAAAAATTGGAAAATACTATAATTAAAATCCAAATGATTTAGAAGCTATGCTTGAATTTGCAGGTTATTACCGAAGTGGATTAGGGGTGGAAAAAAATTTAGATAAAGCTATAAAATACTATGAGAAAGCTTCGGAAAAATTTCCACAAGCTTCGAATGCATTAGGAGTAATATATGAATTTGAACCCAAATTTAAAAACATATCAAAAGCAATAAAATGGTATGAAAAGGGAGATGAGCAAGGTTATACATTAGCCTCAGAAAATCTAAAAAGAGTAAATGAAGAATACTTTCAAATAGAAAAAGAAAATAAATTTAAAATAAATAATTAAATTCAATTATCTCATTTAAGATAAAATATCAATAATATTTTCCTTTAATAAATTATTCAATATTAACTTTTTTATAATTATAAATTTGAAAACTCTTTCTGTTTTTACAATTTATACCATAAATCTTTTCTTTCTTGTAAAAAATATATTTATTTGGATACAATAATAAAAATAAACTTTCGTGAAAAGAATTTTTATCTCTTTTCTCTGTGAGATCTGTGCAAGATATTGCAGATGGTGGAATTGACATAACCTTATCATTCTTATCATAAAATGATAATAATGCGATTCTTCTTTTATCTATAGTCTGAACTTTTATTTTAAAATCAATATCTAAAAATTCTTGAATATCATAATCATGAATCATTCTATTCTTTCTTTTCCTTAACTTTAATACATTTGTTGGAAATATGATATTCGACATTTGAATATTAATTCAATGTAACATAAATCTTTTATTTTTTTTTATATTCAACCCTATTATTTATATTTATCTAATTAATAATTTATAAAATTTTAATTAATAATAAAATAAAGTATAAAAATAAGTCATTTTATTAAATTGAAAATAATATATAAAAATATGAAAATGTTTTATCAATTAATTTTAGTATTATTATTTCTCATATTAATTTATAAGTTATATAATTGTATCGCATTATATAATTTTTATAAAAATTATATAATTGTATCGCATTATATAATTTTTATAAAAATCAAGGAATCGAATTTATAAAATCTTATCCAGTGATCGGTGCTGAAATAGAAGTGAGCAAATTACTTTTAAAAAATAAGAGTCATGATTACATACGTCAATCACAAAATGATTTAATTGGAATATTCCGAGGTCTTTCAATACAATTATATGGAACAAATAAAAAAACGTGTCAAAAATTAATAGAACAAATTGGAAAAAATATAGATCGTAATAGTCCAGCTTCATTTTCATTTGGTAGATTAGGTCCAAGCTCTATCTCTTTTAGCGCGAGTTCTGAATATTGTTTCAATCAACGTAAAACTATATTAATTCATGTGATGAATAATAATATTGAATATTTATCTCAAATTGCTTATCGAAACACACAAAATTTATTTATAAAAAATGAATCAAATCAAATCATTAATATTTCAGAACTTTTAACCGAATGGACTCAAAATACGACTGGAGAATTTATATGGAGTAAAGATATCATGAACTATAAAATTAATATTCTTGATTCTAATTATAATTCAGAAGAGATGTTGATAATGAAATCATTAAATGAAACTTTCCAAGACTTGTATAAACATTCTAAAAAGATTTGGAATAGAATCTATTTCCCTCTATCAAAATGGCCTATAACAACAGATTCATGCCGTCTTTTATACAATATCAAAATCATTCATAATAAGATAGAACAAATCATGAGATCTCAATTAGCAAATGAAACAAAATCGATAGCTAAGGATATTTATGATAAAAATATCAAATTTAATATTCCTATTAATTCTATACGAGATGATTTAATCATTACAACATTATCGGACTTGAATATAATCAGATTAACAATAATGTCTATTCTCTATCATTTACTCGATCAAAAAAACAAAAAATGGAGAGTTTTAGTTTTAAATGAAATTAAATCTATATTTGGAAAAGAACTAAATTCATCAAAATTCGAATATAAAAAACTATCAGAATGCAAAATATTAAATGCTGTGATATTTGAAGTTTTACGCTATGAATCAGCAAATTTATTACTCAATAACCAATCTATAAATAATTTCGATCTAACTATTAGTGACAAAAAATATATAAAATAAAAAAAGGAACGTATATCATGTCCAATATATATCTTATTCATCATGATGATTCTTTTTGGCCAGATCATGATAAACCGTTAAAAACATTTGATCCATCTAGATTTATTGATAAAAATATCATAAATTCGAATTTCTTTCTACCTTTTGGTAAAGGTCCTCAATCTTGTCTAGGTCAAAAAACAAGCTTATTGATGATTAGAATTTTTATAATAATATTTTTAATTCATAACCCAAAATGTAATTTATCATGTAAACAGGATATCGATACAATAAATTTTACTTTATCGAGTAATGTAAATTTTGATATTATTCGTAATTCTAATTAAATAAAAAAACTATAATAATAATAGAATTTCGACTAGTTTTAATTATTTTTTATACATTATATTAAATAAAGAGATAAAAAAAAAATGTTATTGAAAAAAACTGAAAATTTAATAAATTAAAAATCATATTGAATATTTTAATTTATCATTTTATTTCATATAGTTAAAATATTTAGAAAATTCTAAAATTTATTAAAAGTTCTATAAAATTTGTAATCATGCTGATTTCCACCAGCCTATATACGGATCCCAATTTTTGAATTTATTTTGAATTTCAAAATTTTTATTTGTATTGTTGTTTTGATTTATGATTAATTTTTCACAATTGATTTCATAACCATTTACAGTTACCATTTTTACATCATCACAGATATATGTAAAA